TCAAGACTGATCAGTTTGCTGATGGTCAGCTTTGAACTAGGCTTTTTTTGTTTTAATTTTAATTAAAATGGAAGATTGAATTTTATTTGGAAATGAAATATTTATTGGAGAAAAACACTTTAAAATACAGTATTTAACAGAAAAATATTTTCAACACAAGACCTACTGACTTCCCCAGTGCAAAGCACCAATTTAGTACTGAGAGTTGAACTGCCTACACGCTTGTTGAGGCTGTTCTGTGCATTATCAATGAGTCTAAAATGCTCAGCTCTTCAATGAAGCCCCCTCACTGCCAAAATGGATGAAAGTATAAAATGAGAGCTTTTTTCACTTTCTTCTTGAAACCTATCATTGTTTATTTTTTTTCCCCAATGCAACAAGACTGGTCTTAACATGCATTCAAAACAAATAGAATTATCACTGTTTCTTCGTTGACAAAACAAGTACACAGGTAACACAATTTGCACAAGTCATTTGGTCAATGCCAGAATAGAAAACAAAAAGTGGGTCTCCCAACTCTCTGCAGTTGGCTGTACAACCTCTAAAAAATCCTGAATGTGTGTGATTATTTTTATTTATTTCAACATGGCTGGATTAAAAATAGATTTTATTCAATGGCATAAAATGATTTTGCAGTGAAGGTCAGAACAAAGGATGAATCATCTCTAAACAGCAGCTAATAATCTGCTAAAAAATAAAGCAAGCTTTTATTTCTCAAGTGTACCTGGAAGCTGTGCCTAGTGCTGTGATCCATGCCTGGAAAATCCCAGCAAGGAATGAAAATGGACTTTTCCTTGTTATCACAAAGTAGAGCAGAGGCAGGAAGATCCCTCCATGGATGAGAAGACCCACAATCACAGTGACCATGTACATGCCAAGTTGTCTAGCAACTACTTCTAAGTCCTTGATTGCAATGATTTTTCCACAGATGAGGCAAGCAATACCCAAAGGGGAATACCTGGAGAAAGAGAACAAGCACAGACAGAACTAGAACTAGTCTTTGCAGCGTAGTCATAAAAGTTGGGCTCAATGGAGTGTAGACTGGAGAAAGAGTAGGGGGCTCTCAGGCTCAGCACTGAGATGCAGATCAGGAATTGATGGAAATTCAAGGGATAGCTTTCAAATCTTTTTAAAAAATAATGGCCATCTCCAGCAAATTCCCCATCTACTTCATTTTATTGCATCCCATTGAATGGAACATACATTTCCTAAATAGTTTTTGATCCCGGAATAACATCGCACAAGGATACTGTAATGTTACACTGGCTTGGATCATTAGGAAGAGGGGTGTAGTATTTGTTCTTAATACATAACTTTTACAACCCATTGCTTATCTGTTTTCAGGGAGTTGCATTATTTGCTTCAGTTAAGCTATTTGTTGAAATGAATTGCTTTTATCTTGAAGGCTGCAAATGTTTCCGTTACATTCTTTCAACAATTTGGGCAATGCTTTTTAGTTAACGGAGTCTTCATTAATTATGTGCTTTTCTTACTTAGGGTAGAGGTTCGTCCCCTCAGTCATGTGATTCCTCAATGGCATAAATGGAACTTTTAAATAGGATGATAATGGTAGCACAGTTTGGTAATAAAAAAAAATTGAAATGAATGGATATTATTTTTTAAATGCAATAACCAGCTATAGTGAAAAATACCCAAAAGCGCACGGATAGAAGACAATATTTATGCCTGCAGTGGTAAATGTTGGTATATTATGTAATTTTAAGTGCCATTCACTTTATCTGTTTTATAAAACTTTGGCTGGGAGAAAGCAATATGTGTAATCTGTGGAGAAACAGTAAACAAAATGCTTCTCTGAAAATAAACGGTAATGTGTATTTTCAAAAGTGATCAGTGATTTGGGTGCTTAACTAAAGACAATACAAAGGAAACTAACTTTCAAAAGTTTCAAAAGTGCTTCACATTTTCTGTAAGAAACATCTCATAGTCTCTCAAGCAATGTGCCCCAAACCTGGAAAGCCCTCAGTCACTTCAAATGCTGGGCCAGCTCTTACACCATTTATCATAAAAAGCCATGTTTCAATGAACTTATTTCTTACAAAGAATTCCATGGTGTCCGAGCCAGATGTCTGATTTGGTTTATGTCAGCGTAGGAATGCCACGCTCCTGAGAGCCTGGCATTGCCATGGCAGTTACAGATCTCCGTGCAGAGAAACCACAAACAAAAATAAATGTAAGTCTGCATAACAGAGTGCGTTTGTCTTTATAAACACACATTAAAAAAACTGTTTCTGGCCACAGCAATTCTTTAAAAATTCTTGATGGAGATGAACAACTGGAATTCCCAACATCAGTCTCCTTTTTCATGAAAAGAGAAATAAAAAGCACATAAGGAAAAAACCCCCAATATTTACAGTGAATTTCTTGAAACTTGAATGATTTCCTGCCGTTGCAACACTGACTACTAGAGAAAATTTATACTGTAGGTGAGGTATTATGTCTTGAGTGTACCAACTGGTGCTAAGTGAAGTAAGAGCAAATTCTAGCTCTTGGAGTGTTATAAGAGTAAAGTCACCATCTCTCCATAGAGTCGAGAGCAGCAGGTTACAATAATGACTGAAAGCAGTAGGGCTTTGTGAATACAGACAACTCTGGTTTTATGCAGCAAGACCATCTACAGAAAAGCAGAAGCACAACAGGAATGCAAAGGCATTGCTTCAAGTTCTTTCTTCTCTTCTACACATTTCCACATCGCTGTTGCTATCTGCAGCACTATTGCATAACAGTGTCCTTTTGAAACACGGATGATAATGCAGACCCATGCTTCAGGCACCCTGCTCCCTTTTCTATAAACTGCGTCTGTCTAGAGAAGAGGCATACAGCAGCCCTGGAACTCCAGAGATCACTTCCAGGGACACCAAGGAATCACAGGAGCAATGCGCCGTGATACACGTGTTGTATCGGAGTGGTTGTTTCTGCTCTCAAACACAGGGGAGATTGGAAATGCCGCAGCACAATGTCAAATGTAGCAATGCAGTTTTACGTTCTGAAAAATTTGGTTTGTGTGATATCGCCATCCTTGGCACTGCATAAAAACAGCTCTGGAGAGGCCCTCCGAAGAAATATCTCAAGAGAAAAACAGAGAATCCCCTTGAGAAATGTAAATAAGGGCTCAGCCTTACTTGGGTAAAGTCACTCCATCGAAGGCAAGCCAGGCCCCGTTATTATGAATGGCTATACTTCACAAACAGGATGATACTTTCCAGTGACCCCACTGTGGTAAGGTTGTAAGACATAGATTCTGCAGAGACTGTGGGTGGAGGGACTACACATCACTGAAAGCCATTGGAATTTTACCTGGTGGTAAAGTATTTCCACTACAAAAGTCAGTTACTAAAGTGTGTCCCCAGGCTTCTTTGTAATTATACCTCCTACCTAATACCCTGGGATTATGCTAACCTCCCAGGAAGATTTGTATGTTCTTACGTGAGGCATTCTTGCTTGCTTAGGTGTCCTCCTATGTAATGAACTTCCACAATCAATGTGGCATTTGAAGGCCTTTGCTGATACCTGCATGTCTTGGACTTCAATAAACAAAGAACAGAATACCTCCAGAAATACTTCAAATTGGGTCCTAAACCGTCCTCACCAAAGAGAAATAATGCTGCTGTGGTTCTAACACACCTGTCAAGGCTTTAAAAATGGAACTATTTAATTACATTGTTTACTAACAAACTGTGGTCACTATACACTATATTAGGGTTTTATGAGGTTTTTCAAAACCTTTTTTTTTTGTTCTAGAAGTTAGAACTTCAAACTTACCACATGATCATAGTTACTAACTTCATTACAATCTCATTCAGGATGTTGAAGAAATCCACCATCATCTTGGCTTGTTCTCCCATTTTCCCCATAGCAATGCCAAAAGCAATAAAGAATCCTATCAAACCTATTGGGAAAAAATGCAAGACAAAAAAAAAGCAAGTAAACCCACGGTTTTTAGGAAGTTTTTGCACCTAGATACTACCTGCTAATCCAGGTTTCAGAACTATAGGGTATTACATGTCTCTTGGAACTTTTTAATATGGACCCACTCTCAACTTTCATGATCATATTCAGAGCATCTTTTATTCTTCAGTATTTTACTAAATTACAATTTCACAGCCTGTGTTTTTTTATTTTTTCCTGAATTGATCTGATCATCAAAAAAATACCTATACTATAATCTTCCAACAGTTCCATGCAACTGTTAGAAACCCCATAGCCCCAGGCAAATGGGAGAGGCAACACGCTGCCGTATCACGACTCTTCTTTGTTGCTACAACAGTCACTAGAGACCAAGAGCATTTTTATCAAGCTTTACAAAAGTCCCTTGACTTTTGATTCAACCTACAGACTAGTCAGTCCTGAGTACAGGGAAAGGCAAAAGCAGCCCCAGAACATAACTTTCGCAGGCCGTGAGTATTCCAGTTAAATGAAGGTTTGGGGTGGGAGGAGAAGGTGAATATCGGGCTTTAAGCTAAATCACAGAATTCCCATCAAACAGATTAACCTCACTAAAATGGGCTATCATGGATACATAATCATAGAATTCAACACGAGTAACACCTGACTCCTAAATTTAAATGCTAAGGTGTGAAAGTCTGGAGAACTGGACTGTCAGTGTGACAAACCAACCGAGTGAATCCGTCATGTATTGCTGTGGAGCTGTGTCTCCAGTGCTAACCTTTACCATATAGCAATCTTCAGTATCCGCAGTGGGATTATTACCTGATACTGATAGATGGTTTGAACCTTCAGCCATTCTTTGAGGCTGAACTTTCCGTCATGATACAAGTCCAGTATTTAACAAATGTGTGAACTCAGCTGGGAAATTCCTAAGGAAATAACCGTCAGGACACAAAAGCATTCAAGAGAAGGGAATTTCAGCTACCAGTACTCTGGGAAAAGACAGGCTATCCCATATCCTTACACTGGCTTTAGCAACCGGACTTTTTTTAATCCAGTCTCCTGGATGTTAATTAATCCTTTAGCACCAAGCTATCTTTGTTGAGTCACTTGAATAGGGAAGTGAAGTGCATGTTTGTGCGCTGCAGAGCATAGAGAAATGATGAAAAGCTTTTCGGTCAAAGACCAAGTAACTTCCTGGAATTAAGACTCTGCACCAGAAAATGTCAGTAGGTGGTTTTATTTGTTAATTCCAAACAAGCTGCTACATTAGTCATAAAAGTCAAGTTGGTTCATATTTGCAAGAATTTGCCTGGCTTGTACAGTTTAAGCAAGCTGGATGGCAACTCCCCAACATGTCCACTTCTTCATTCAAAACCAAACCACACCAGACCAAAAAACTCTGCAGCATTTGAGAATCATTGACCAAAATACCACAGCAAATCCCCCATCTAAACTGTGTATTTCCTTTCTGTAGGAATTGTATTCAGCCCTCTAGCTCTTTCCTTACCCACGACAGAGCCTGCAGAAAACAAGTCCAGCACTAAATGCAATGCATCTCTTACATTAGAAATACTGTTTCATTTTAATGCATAAGCAGAGCTTCAGGAAAGAAAAAAGCCAGTCCGAATAGGGGCTTCAGGAAGGGATGGGAGACAGGTAAAGCCTTCATACCACCCCCACTTGCTGGCCTGTCCAAACAGAATGGCATGACTGCCGTTGTTCATAATTTGCAGCTGGTAAAGGTCAGCAGCCAAGATGAAAGGAGGGAGTTGTGACTCAGAGATTCCCAGCCTCTCTGGGATTTTTCTTTGGTGGTGCAGTTCACACCCCACCTTTCACTTCAGGCTCTGCCTCAAGCCAAATTCTAGTTCAGCGTGCCCGAGACACCCACTGGAAACAACTGAGCCCGAACTCATCAGGGGGTGGGTAAAGCCCTGGCTCTTGAAGCTCTCCCCCACACTGTTTTGCCAATACGTGTTAGCCGCAGTCCAGGTAGGCTACTTCTAGGATGAAAGGATGTTTCAGGTACCTCCTACATGCTTCCCCACTGTACTCCAATTAATACCTGCAAAGCTACCAATCCAGAGTAATTCCCTTGACTGTTTCTGTTATATAGTTATATTTCTAGTAAGACTATTAGATTTTAATCTCAGGGACCAATGGGCAGCCAGTAGGTGAAACCATTCAATGATTATCTGGGGAGACTAACCTTGCACTGAAGAGCAGATCAGACAACACTGGCTACCCAGTCACAGCCAAAAGCTCTGTCATACACATCATGTACAATATGACAGGCAAAAAGTTTTCCTACCCAGGACATTCATGCCATCCTTAAATTCAAGTCCTTTCTTAATGACCAGCTGGGCTTCTGGTGGTGCTTCACGCACTGTCTCATTCATCATAGCAAAAGCAGAGTCAGTGACGTTAGGTGGTTCTTCAATGGGTGGTGGCACCAGCACCTTCTTGGTGACAGTTTGGATCTGAAGGCAAGAAAAAGGGAGGATGAGAATGGAAACAGACTGAATGTAATCCATATGGGAGATCGGGAAATAACAACAAAAAAAGTCTTCACTTGAAATTCCAGGGAACTATATTTTTAAAGGATTAGACATGCATTCCACAACCTCTTACCCTCTCTTCCAAAAATAAGTTTGTTTTTCAATAGTTCCAAGTGTCACAAAGTCCTGGGAGCCTTCCTCATGACTCCAGTGTGAAAAGTATGGCAAATACTTGTGCCTTACCACTAGGATGCAACACTTTACAGATACTTAGTCCCTCTGTCCAGTTGGTTCACAAATGGTGCTTCACAGATTGTATGCTACATGTCAATACCATTTATTTAGCACCAAAAGGCAGGCAACTCCAAGATCAGTCACAAAAGCAACTCTGCAGTAAAGGCTTGTTATTCAGGATGCCCAGCTCAAGTTAGCATAGTCTGATGGTTAACTTCAATCAAAAACTTAGGACATTTCCAACACTTGGTGACTATGAGAGCTCAAAATGGAATACATACGGTCCCCTGAGCTCTCTAATGAAAATATCGTGAGTGACAGGAAAGAGAAAAATTATCAAAGCTGCCAGATAGCTATTAAATCAAACCTGACCACCTCAAATCAGAAGACATCAGCATCTGAATGGATCTGGACCCCTCCTGGCACATGAGAGGCAGGTTCAAAGGAAAGCTGGAAAGGAATGGTAGGGGGAGAAACAGGCTTGAGTTTACAGCTAGGAAAAAGGGAGGAGGGAGCGGAAAAAGAGAGATCTGTGACTTGCTGCTTTTAGAAGGGATGTTTTCCTCCCACTTCACACCTTTGAGACTTTCTTGCCTCATCATGGCTCTGGGACAGGCAAAATGGTTAGGAAGCTATGACTAGTTTGCCATGGTCTCCCATCTGCTCCCTGCCTTCCTTGTTCCCAGAAACGTGTTTGAGCAAGGCATCAGAAACAGTGCATTAGTCTTTCAAAGAACATTTGCACCTCTTTCCTGTTGAGATGGACACTGTAGTACTATGGATGATGATCCAGATTCAATCCATATATTTTTAAACCATAAGGCTTTAAAATACCTTATGTCTCTCCTTCCAAAACCTGCTGTCTAAATCTGGAGAGGGGGATGCAGACAGAAAACCTACATAGCTTTGCATGAGAAACTCTTCACTTGTCCTGAAACAGCCCAATATTCCTGCACGTTTACATTTTTTTCAGAGTTAAATTTTATCTGAGGGATGTTGTCAACACAATATTTTTTTATGTGAGATATTCAGAACGCAAGAACAGAGTCACAGAAATTAAACTTAAAACATTAGACTCTACACGCTCATAAATTCCACTACAGTCACTTAAGTCAAAGGTCCTCAGTCCTTCTTTGCACAAGGCCACAGTCACTAAAAATGCTGAGCCTAACGTCAAGTTTAGATTCTGACAACAACGTCTGAGGTCAGAAAGTCATTTAGACATCAGTCATATCTATAGCTGATAGTCCCATTCTCTTTCAATGGCACTTAAGATTTTAAGTCTCTGCAGGAATAGCAATTTCTGTTACAAGTTAAGACTTGTTTGTGGACCATACAAAAATTCAAGAGATATTGAAATCCCATGATGGTTCAGAGTTCAGTTTGCAAATGAACTGTCTCAAAATCACAAGTGAATCCCTTCACTGTTTTCCACCTGATTGCAAGGGAAGGTGTGTAAAACTCCCCCCCCCCAGACCACGGCTACACAGTACCACTGCTGCACACCCTTCAAAATCATTATTTGCAGGATTTCTGCAAAAAATTGCTTCCTCCTAAGGCAACCTGGAAACACTGAATGCTCATACAGAGAATCTGTATAAATGTAGGAAGAGAAAGTACATGTTAACACCACTAAAAGCAGTTAATTTTCCTCCTAAAAAAGGAGAGAGAGATAAGTAAAGCCTAACTTGGAGGAGCTAAGGGCTAATAGAAGGCACAAGTTCCATCTGGAAAGGAGCATGACTTTGCAAATAGAAGATGGTTTTGTGGCAGAGGCTTTCCCCGGCGATTAGTTTGGAATCTGATAAAATTAAACACTGGAAAGCCAAAAAGCTCAGTAGCTTTTTTGACTAAGTTTAAACCCCAGCCAATGGACCTTGTGATCCATAACTAGTGAAGTGACCTGAACATTGATATTACACACTCTGAAAAAGCAATATTAAGGTTCCAAGAAAACTATCTGACACGAGTAGCTTAATTCTTCTTTCTCCCACTTGTTGTCCCTTTGTTGAGATATTTGACCACTTTCAACCAATCAGAAATATAATACTCCTCTCTTCCACAGTTCAAATGAGGGAAAGGAAGAAAAACCTGCTCTAACCTCACTCAATTTTGCAAAAAGAGACTTCACATTACATGTGATGTTTAGCCACCCACAGTTTCATCCCATGATGATTTGGAAATATTGAGAATGTTCTCTCTTTAAACCCCCAAGGACTATATGTTTTTATGTGGAAGTCTACGGAAGAAGTGAAGCAATCCAAGCCGTTTTGGCAGCTTAGTTTGCCCTCCAGTCTCCCACACCCCCATGGCCTCTTTTCTCTCTTCTTTTCAATTTATTTTTTGGCCATAACCACAGCTCCAGCTATCATGCCATTTCACACAGGAACGCTTAAGAACAGGTCTGGCAACAAAACCTGTTCCATACACAGAAAAAAAGTCTGCGTTATTGCCAAACAATTTAGTTGTAGGACAAAGCAGCTTACATACAGGAAATATGCTTAAGCAGAAATTAGGAAGCATGCATTTTTCATTTATTTTACCCCTTGAAGTGAAGCTGTTTTGATTAAGCATTCGTGAATGCTTAATCAAAATTGGAGAACAATTGGTGAATAAATTTTTAGACAAAATTATCTACCTACAGAGCAAGCAACACGTGGTGGAAGCATGCTTCTTTCCCAGCATGCTTCAAACCTGGCCTGATGGTGCCACCTGTAGGAGGGTCAGCCACTTGACCATATTATCCCCACCTAGTCTGGACTGTTAATACAGCAATAGAAGTTATGACAGGTTGGGTTTTGGGGTACATTTCCACTGGCAACCAAATGGAATGAAGATCATTCACACATTACAAAAAAGGCATTGCAAAACCAGCAGCTCTGTAACTAACAACCAAGATCAAATTCAACTTGGGTGAAAGATTCACAACTTATCAGCTGTTCAGACCCAAGCCAGCATTCATGACTATATATTGTATAAAAAGTGAGGGAAAAATTTAAGTTTACTTAGTAACAAACTAAAAATCATTTTTAAAAAATAATCTACAAATTTAAATAGTAACTGCAACATAAAACAAGGCAGCTATAAATAATGTTCTTTCATTTACCTGCTCAAGAATTAAGACCTGTATTTCTCTTTGCATTATCATTTCTGTCATTTGATAACATTAACTCTACAGACATCCCTGGTAAGTAAAAGATGTAAAAAATACTCCCAAGGAGCAAAAGGATTTACCTGCTGAAAGCATGCTTGGACTAGATTTTCAGGGAACAGGTTTCGGATCAGATCCAAGAAAGCATCCAGGCTAGATACTTCATCATTCTTCTTCCCCTGACCAAGCTGCTTCTTGAGTTTCGGATTCCCTGGATGGATGGCTAAAACCAAGATCACGCCCAGCACAGCAGCGATAATAGTGGTGGACATGTAGTAGACCATAGCTCTTGTACCCAATCGGCCACTTGCTTTAGCATCTAAACCAGACAGCCCTGCAGATGTTTTATTGTAAGAAACATAGGAATACATTGAGACTCAATATCCAATTCAATAATCATCAAATAAAATCCTTTATAATTTGCAAAGTTTAATGACTGCCTACAGGTGCCTACTTTTGTCTGTGAAATTCTCACCACTAGATAGATTACTGAAGCTTCTCCCTCCAGTTCTTATGTGAACAATGTCTGCTGCTACTAATCTGAAGAGAATCATTTAAGACTCAGTCTAATCACAGAGGAGGCACTGAAAAATAGAGAAATATCATCTTTCGCCCTTGATTGCTGCAAACTGGTTGTGGTCAAGCTGACACCACAGCTTTAAGAAGGCTAGGCTTGCTAGCGTCATGCCATCTTATTTGCAAGGTCCAAGCCAGCAATTAGGTGAAACAGCATATCAAGAAATTGCTGGTGTTCAGGAAGGCAGCATGTGTGCAGGTAGTTGCAAATAAATTCACTGGAGCATCTATATCTTAAAGCCAATGAAGGCAATCAGAAATGAACTCTGAAGTGCACAGTGCAACTGCAAAATCCCTGACAGGATCACACTATTACTCTTCCAACATCACAAAAAGCAAACCAGGTGATACCCGTAGCAAGCATCTTAAAGTATTTATGGCTAATAGATCTTACCTGTGATTAAACTGGAGATAATTAAAGGGAGGATCAGCATTTTTAGCATCCTCATTAGTATATCTCCTGGGAAGGCTATTAACATAATGATGTCAGGGTCAATAGGTGTTGCTAGACGAAGAAGACCCCCACATAGTGCACCCAGGATGACACCTGGAAGATGAAGAAGAAGAGAGAGCAGGCAGGTAACATAAATATACTTGAATGGGTGTTGATTACCCAGAAGAACAGCCTAGAAGAAAAACTGTCACACAAGCCAGCTGATTTTTGGTGCAGGGACAGATTTTGGAAGGCTTAACCTTGTAGGTAATATGAGGCTGTAACACGCTTACCGTTTATCTCATGATTAAAGAGAAGCGGTCCTGATGTAGAATATTCTGTCAGCTGAGCTTACACCTAATGCACTATTCTGCTTCTGCAAATACAGAAAGTTGCTGCAAACTGCAATCTTATTGAGGTTTACTAATACTGTGTAGGCCTTGCAATACGTTGAGGGATAGTCAAATATAATTCATACCACCTTTCTACAGCTGGCAAAATTGAGGCCCCAAGAGGTGAAGTGATTTAGGTGAGGCCACACAGAACTTGCAGAAGAGCCAGGGTTAGAACCCAGCTCTTCTGAGTACGACATCTGGCTCTCAACATAAGAATGGTACCACTTGAAAACAAGGTCAACATGAGTAGCTATTTCGCAGCCTAAGAAAAACCCTGCAGGAAAGCCAGAATAGTCTTGTGATGAAAACAGATTCAAGTTTCATTTGGGGGGTTTTGGAAGGGAGTGCCTGATCTGGAATACTGCCCATATCATTGAAGAAAACTGGATTCTTAGTACTCATTTACTACTCCTTCCCTTTGATGGTCTGCATCCTTCTCTTCTTTTGTGCTAACATTATCCAGTCACAGACAATCCCTTCTTCGCTTATTTAGATTCGTACAGTCATAACACCTAAATGCTTCTCTCAGGATTGAGGCTGTTAAAGCACAGTCCATGGGAAAAAAGGCCACGCTTACTTTCATAACATGGTCTTTGTAAATGGCTATTTTATGTTTACATCCAGGATGCCTTTATTTTCCTGATCTCAAGCCTCAAGTGACAGCAAAGCCTGAGCTGTGATTTGCAGCAACTATGACTCTCTGAAATACCAGTTTGATACAGTGGAAGAGACATGTGTATTTAAAACTTTTTCTGGAACTGCATCAGGCACCTTCTAAAGATGATTCAAAGCAAATACCGTCTAAACACTTCAGTGGTATGAAGGCTGAAAAAAATGGATGTGAAATTTGCAGCTCAAGACCATCTGCAGCTGGTCTTTCAAACAATAACAAAACAGAGTATGTCTATGAATTTGCTACATTTGGCTGTTAGGCATTCAGTGAAAAAGAAACAGGCAAAAAGCCAGCGAACCACAATAAAATGTCAAACTGTTCCATATTTGGAAGCTGCTAAAGCCAGAGGCAAGACTCAGGATGAGATCACGGAGTGCTGGCTTGCAGCTACAGAGAGGTAGACAAACTTTAAAAGCAGCTGAGCATGAACTGCTAGATGAAAGATGAAGGAAAGGAAATTTTGAAGAGTTTTTGTCTTTTTTCAAATAACTGAGAGAAAAAATGTGTAGCGCGTTTAGTCCTACTGAATGACATCGATCTGACTGGCCTTGGGACTTAGATTGTACTCCATTCAAGACCAGACACAGAATGTGTGGATTTGCCACATGTCATGTCAGTAATACCCTGCACACCTAAACTAGAGCGACAATGCCTGTGGGCACCCTATTTACTTTCTGGCTGTTCAGCTGGTGACCACAGCCAGGTCTGCAGTGCTGTCTGAACACACAGAGACACATGCGGGACAGCCAGACTCGCAGATGTAGCTTACCGAACACAGTAAGGGTCAGGAGCAGATTCCTGTGGAGTGACTGGCAGAACTGTACACATGTGTTCCTGGATCTCTGCTCCACTGGACTTAAATGACTTTCATGCATCCGCACTTCTACTTGCTTAGGCATATTGTTGGCACTAGAATAGAAAATGAAAATCAAGTAAAAGTTATAGCACAAGATGCCAAGAGTGAGAGGAAAGTCTGGATTACTTCTATCATATATAACTGGGGAATCTGATGCATATTCCACTGCTTCCCACGTTTCACAAACACTGTATATTTACTGCTCTGAAGAAGCCTCTGAAATGGTAATGGTTTCTCCTTCTAAAGCTGCAGCCTTTAAGGTTATTTTTTGTGATTATCTCTCAAACAGTGGAGATGTAAACAGAATTAATTCACTGGACACATTATCCCAACTGTTTCACGGGCTAAACTATTGGTCTTGAGCTGGAAAACTCAGTTTCCCCAAAGATGATGGGTGTCTACTTAAACAGGAGAGATGGCTGAAGAACGAAGTTTCTATTAGCAGGAAAATGCAGATGTTAATACCTTATTTAATTCCAATTCAGGAAAAGAGTTTTAAAACAAGAATTTATTTGCAAAATAAAGCATTCCAGACTATTTTGCTTAATCTTCCCCAAATGTTTCATTTCAACATTAACATTTTATTGTAATATAACCAGAATGTTGAGGTCAAAAGAATCTTTTTCAACTTATTTCTAATGAGACTTGAACAACCGCCACTGAAAATTAGTCAGAAAGCTATGCATTCCCCAAGAAAACCTTTGGTTTCATTGAATTGTCAGTGTTTAGAGGAAAAAGTTTTTGACTAACTCTGGTTTACATTTGAGTAAGTGATATGCACATGAGTGCAGGACTTTGAAAGCTACGCCTCTAACTTTCTCAGTGCCTCAGAAATCATTAGGAATAGACTCCCTTTCTAAATACAAAATATTAAAATGTTCTTGAAAAAAATACTACTACAAATAAAGCATACAGCTTCCCTAAAAGTTAAATACTTAAAAAAAGTTCTCATACTTAAATATGAGAAATGGGTAAAGAACAAATTTTTTATTATCAAGAAAATATATATTTTGTGATCTAGTCTTATGCCAGATCAACACAAGATTTTAGAAAAAGAAACCCAAATCTTCCAAGTAATCAAAACTGGGTTTTGCTATATATATAGTATAGCTTGTTGTCTTCATAGTTTCTCAACAGAAAGTTATGATTAGACTTGTAATAAGAATTCAGCCATTTTGATGCAAATATTTCCATGATTTTCCCTTTCAAAGTGCATTTTTTCCCAATACATTTGGTTGTTTAAAAAGTAGCACCAGCAGAAAATGCATGAGAGGACACAAGTGTTGTAATTTTTATTTTATACCTTTCAAAATATTTTACAACAGTGGTTGGAACGAGATGTACTGCTGATGGTGGAATAACAAACAAGAATATCAGTACACATTCTGACAGCTTATGAGGCATGCCTACTTCTTGAAGACTCATGAATACAAGTATCGGAGTTACATAAGGATTAGCCAGGGGATAATGGGTATAGCAGTTATTTGAGGACTCATGAGAAAGATGGGACAGCGCCTGCAGTTTTCATGCACAAGAGCCACAAAGCCATGGCATTACTGGTGGAAGTGCCACAGAATCAAGGAACTTGGGATCCAAACTTTGCAACCAGGGATTACACCTAGTTTCACTTGCACTCTGAACACGGATGTATAACTTGTCCAGATCTATTATTCACTACAGGTTGAATATATATTTCTCTGAAACTTTGAAATACAGTCAGCTGAAAGTAATTCAAAAGAAAACCTTAGAGGCTCTTCCACTAGCAAATAATTAGGCAGAACTGGAATGGTTCGGTAAACAGAAGCACTTGACGAAGTTATGTGTCTTTCTAGGATTTTGCTCTGGACTACATTTAGTCTGGTTTCCTGGACCCTTTCCCACCTGATGCCATGCCTATGGCTCCAAGTCATCCAAAGGAAAGCCACCTCACAGATATCTGTGTTCTCAGCTGTGGCCCTTTTCTCTAATTTGCAGACAACGGAAGCATATCATTCCCCTGACACCACTGCTGAAATAAGTCCTCCCATGCAGAAGCAGCCTTCTGGTCCACTCTTGTATTCAAGCCTTATTTCTATTTCCATCCATTTCTAAGTGATAGCATGGTGTTTGCCAGCCAGTTACCCCGTCCACTCCAAGTCCGGTCAGCGTACAAAGGTTCATGCAGGGAGGTGATGGTGGACCTGCTCCCGCAGCTGCAGTGACTACTTTAGGATTACACCCCAAGTGAACCAAAGCCAGCCCTGCTCAAGGTGGTCAAATGACACAGAGCTTTTACATGATAGCAACCATCTTCTGAAGAAGTTCAGCCATATGAAATGTAGATATCCAAATGCCCTCTGAGAAGAGAAGGTGCAAAGCTTTTTAAGGACATTGCTAAACTTCCAGGAACTTAACACCATATTGTGTGCTTCCTCAAGTGCAGAATATGGTGTTTGCACTCTCCAGCTCTTCAAAATTGTAAGTGAGCCTTCAGCACTGACTGAAATTCTGATTGGTATGGGGTTTTTTTAAAGAAAAAGATCCAATACTAAAATATGCTAACCATGCAGATCTGTTACAAAAAGCATTGACAGATGAATATCATCACATGGAAGATGGTACCACAAAGGATAATAATCTAAGCATTTGCACTGTTAGCACTGCTCGTAGCAATGAGATTTTTGTTACCAGACCAGAGACAAAGTATTGTCCCAGGCTTTTGAGTATGTCGTGGGGGGGGAAGGAAGCAATAGAGAAATAAAAAACTTCTGCGAAGGATAAGAGAAGCTTCCTGTGTAGCACATCACAGAAATCAATATTTTGCACCAGAAATTTTCCATCCAACTACTAGAAGATGAAAATCCATTTGACCTCTGAACCATGGAAATGACCTTTTGTCTTACGGACTGAATCATCCTCCATGTGCTGTTTTTGTGCCTCTCTCTGCATCCTATAAATGATATTTAGCTCCAGAAGCATGCAGAAGCTTTTGCACCTGAAACCCGCAGTCACATAATGACATAACTGCAAGAAGTTCCTACTGAAGTCAAGGGAAGATGCACAAGTGAGGGTAGAATCTCGGCCCTTACGGACCAGATCCCCCTGGATCAGTCTTGCTCCTCTGTCTGTCACTGACATTAGCGCACGCTCACATGCACAGCTTTCTCCATAACGTGATGGCCACAGTGCCATGTTAAAGCAAGCAGGGAAGGGGCTTAAATATGTATAAGGCTTTCTCGTGCTTCAGATTTTCTTGCTGAAGGAAACAAGTAATGCATGACACAGTGGAGCTTGACTGTACCCCAACTCACAGGCAGTGCTGGGACTCAAACACAAAGCCAGAAGTGTGTCAACAACATGAGCCCCTCCAACACAACTGAACCCTGCTCATAGAATCTCTATGTTAAAAGTACCTCTGTACACACGTATCACAAAATGGTGCAGAATGCATTTTAGCAGCTGTGATCTTTCAAACATGCAAATGATTACCTTCACTGATTATGCAAATGATTATCACTTATCATGCAAATGATAATCACTTAGTGATAAATCACTGTTGCACTGTGCTGAGCTTCTATGGCTATTCAAACAAATGAAGCATTCTGAATGCTCATCTGAAACCCATCAGACCAAAACCTCTTTCATCTAACTTCAGTGAAGCCAGAACATGATAATATAAATTAATTCTGCTCATTATTTTTGTATGTCATAGTGACAAGCAGCTAAACAGCTAAGCTCCCAAGTAGGCCCACAGAGAACAGTAAGAACTGAGACCTTCAAAGGAGATAATATTTTCTGCTAGCTGCAGGTGCTTGAAAACATTGACAGGACTTATAAAAAAATGAACCAAATATTGGAAAATGTGTAGTCACATGAAACAGCACATCACGTGAAACAGCACATACCAAGAGCTAGACATATGTGGTGGTTTTTGAATGATTAAGTACGATCCGCCTAGTCCAGTGTCAACTATGTTTCTCTCTTTTGAGGCAGCACTTATCCCTAGGAAAGGAGAGGAACTCCTTTGAGCCCAGGAAATCTGATTTTTATTCGCCTTGGCATAGTACAAGAGTGTCTCAAAGTGAACACAATCTGTCACCAACTTCAAATATGCTCTACTCTGCCAAGGCAGTATGTAAGTGCATTAATAGAAATGCGTATTAAATTGCAGAATTAAAATGCCATTTTACTGCCTTTTAAGCAAAAAAGCAACCTCTTGCATGAATAATCAAGAAGTTAGCTACTTGCTCTTTCCACTGTCCCTCACCTCCACAGTATGGACAAGGTACAAGAAAAAAATCTGTCTGTAAGTATTTTATTTTAGATTATCTAGATATTTACATTTATTTTTGCATGTGAGATATACAGTGCTGTATGAGATAATCTATTTATCTGCAATTTTTAAGCTGTAGTCTGTTTCTCTTGCTGGTTGCTACACATAATGGTGTCAAAATGCAGGAAAACAATTTATTAAAACACTAAGGTCCCTGGGATTTTTTATTATTATTTCCTCTAAGCATTTTTCCTAGGTTTTATTTTTACCTCCCTCTGGGAAAGTCTGCTGTCCTATTTCTTTTCAACTGCTTCTTTCTCCCATTCTCACGGAAGTTTCTAAAAGGCTGGAAAAAGTGTTTGCTTCTTTTCCTTGGTTACAAAATGTAACTCCTTTCCTCACAAAAGTTAAGGGTTAATAATTTACACAGTGCTTGAGAGACAATGCCCTTTTATTTCCAGTCAGTTATGGGGAAAAGAACTCTGCATCTCCCAAACACTTACCCAGCTTGGCATTAGAAACTAGAGCGAAAAATAGTCTTGCATTTAAATGAAAAATGTAGGCCAAGATCATAAAAAGGCTAGTGAAAACAGATGCTGTGGACAAGGTAAATTAGCAGAGACCATGTTTAATCTGTAAAAGGTATGTCACAGCTGTGTCAGTTAATCAAGCAGGTAATTCTCAGTCTACAAATCTGTGTCGGTTAGCACTGCCTGCAGATTAATTTGGGCTTTGGTCTTGGGGGATGGTGAGCTGTGTGGTGGAGAGGTTCTTGTTAGCATAGCAAGTGG